GGATGCAACGGCAGAGAGCGAGAGAGAGAGAGAGAGGAAACACAAAGCAGAAAGTGCCAGGGCAGTGTTGCTTTCTCGTGGAATCAACTTCGGACGCAGAGGTTGCGTGTTTCTCGTATTCGCTATTGCGGCCACGACATGCTGCACGAGGTTCTTCGTCGTTAGCTTCGATGACTCACTTACAAACCGATAGGAAGTGATTGTAAGGCCGCAGACGTCTCTCGACAAGCGGTGCTGAGTACTCGTAACCAGACTTGGATTTGCTTTTAAGCCTTTGGTGTAGTTGGGAACTTGCGATTTTATGGTAACCACTTGCCATACGGTGGTCGCAGCATGTCGCACTACTTAGACCATTACCGACTAGTTTTACAGTAGACGCCTTTGGGATTCTATTCTCATCTTGACGGACGGTTTCCGCAACTCCATGTGACACCATGTATGGCATGGACGGCATCGAAGAGCTCGACTGCCCGTGGATTTGGACTCTATATGCATTGCAAACTCGCAATGGGCACAGCAGGGTAGGGCTGAGAAAAAAGAAGACTTAAGTGCACGCAGAAGTGCAAGACAGAGAGAGAGAGAGAGAGAGAGTGCTCCTCTTCTGACTGTGTGGAAGAAGAGAGAGAGAGAGAGAGCAATTGGGGGGCCAACTGGCCGGGGGGTTTAACAGACCCCTCATGCCCTGGGGAAAGAAAGAAAGAAAGAGAGAGAGAGAGAGAGAGTCCCCAGCCCTATCGAAAGAAGAGAGAGATTGTGAGTTGGTGTTCCAAGCGTTCTTGCAGCCACAGATCCGGTTAACACGGTCAGGGTTTAGGAGGGGTGTTGCTTCGGGGGAGGGTTATCAGGTGCAAACAGGGGAACTGCTGTTCCATCCCCCGAATGGGGGTTGCTCAGACGACAGACTCGCAGGCCTTCGTGGGGTAGGCCTTCGGACCAGGGGGGTTTCTGCCCCTCACACCCCCAGCAAGCAAGCAAGCAAGCAAGCAAGAGAGAGAGAGTCAGTGGACCAGGGCGCGCTCGCGCGGGAGGGGGCACTTGCTTTCTCCTTGACTGTGTGGAAGAAGTCAGTGGAGTCGTCCCCGAGCTGACCGTTGCCTTCCCCCGAAAACCCCAAACATTGGGGGGCCCAGTGGGGCCGGGAGGCTTGAGAGTCAAAGCTCCAAAGACCACATAGTCGAGGGCCCAGCTCTACTTAGTGTTACCTTCCAGGCTTTGTACCTAATGCTATACCCTACTGTCGTGGTGTTGTTTCGCAAGGGCCACCGACACATCCGCGGCAAGGCCCGAGACTACAACAAACCCGCACAGAGTGGGGATCGATACCAGCGAACAGGCCCAGGCACGGACACGGCAAGCATAGTTTGAGCATGCGCGTCATCAAGGGTCAAGCTGGTAACGAACCCACAAAAAAAGCGTCTCACGCCGACTCAAGACACGGACTAGGGCGAGGGCCGAACTCGCACCCCACGCTGAACAAGCAAGCAAGCAAGCAAGCAAGCAAGCAAGCAAGAGAGAGAGAGAGAGAGAGATAGATAGGGCTCTTCGCATACTATATGGCATGAGCTCTATGACAATCTACATTCGTTCTTCACTCCCCTTTCCCGACAAACACTATCGGGTGGGCACTTTGCCCGGGGGCCTTGACCGGTCCTAATTAAAGAAAGACAGAGAGAGAGAGAGAGAGAGAGAGAGAGCGGGAGAGCCCTACGTGTAGCAACTCAAAGCAGAGAGCGCAAGAGGGAGAGAGAGAGACAGAGAGAGTGAGTGTGTGTGTGTGTGTGTTTGCATTTATCTGTGCACCTGCGCATCCTGACTGCAGAGGCCGTAAGAGAATATTTGCTGACGGAGCCGCTGGAAGAAGCTTCAGCTGCAAGCCGACGAGAGCAGGTATTTTGCAGTTCCTCAACCTGTGAGAGTACTACTGCGGGGCACATCCAAGGATATATGGCGAGTGTGGCTTGACTTTGAGGCTTCGGGCTTGTGTATCATGTGTTTGCTGGGGTGTTGCGGCTGCCCGATGTGAACTGGACAGAAGTGGCAAGCGCCGCCCGAGCGCAGAAAGATGGACAAGGACCGACCTGAATCACTAGGCGATGCAGGGCCTTTTCCGGCAGCCCTAAATATTACCCACATACTCGTAGGACTTCAACAACGTCATTCCGAGCAAGGACACGCCGGAATGTGCATGCCTGCATGCCGCATCAGCAGACGTGAGATCTGCGCAGGACCTAGCCGACATCCTTCGTCGGCGTCCAGACCTCAAGACGTTCGTGCAGAGCGTTCCAGCCTCAAGCATCTCCAATTGCTCGTGTAAGTTTTTACCGTCACCGTCACAGGTCATTGTTCAAGCCGTGGAGAGAAAGATCGCGCTGCTCGCCTGGACTCTGCGAGGTCAAGTCTCGACAGCTCTCGGATTCTGTGCGCCAAGGACTCTGCGAAGCAAACAGAAGTGACAAGGTCCGCAGCCATGCCATGCGGCCGAGCCGCAGGTGGCCGAGCCTGGTGTACAAATCGCCGAATTAGCTTTCTTTGAATGCATCACGCTTGCATTTGCACAGTCTCAGCTTTGTGTGTAGCATGCAGACAAGCTGCATTATCCTGATGCTGCGAAGCAGCCTTCAGGCCTTCAGGGCGCAGTGCTGCAAAGACTGAGCAAAAGTGATTTCTTCAGCGCCTGAGCCTGACGATGCCGAAAGCATTTGTCCGGAAAGTCGGCTTCAGTGCGAGTGCTTGGGATCGGATGGCAGCATTTGTCACATGGTTTTGCATGACGCCTTGCCGAAGTTGCGACAATGATGCATTCTAGTGTAGTCCTCTGCTGAAGAACCTCAGTACAATTCATAATCGCCTGGGATCTTCCAAGAAGTTCTACTAGTACTCAGGGTTTGCAGACTGCGCATGTGCATGCCTCCCTTGGCTGCAGTGGTTCTGGCGGTGACTGTCCAAACAGCCTGGGCTGGAGTGCTGTGTTCTTGGACTAGTGACGATACTCGGTTTTATGCCGCACAGGCTGCGTCTCATGCGAGGCAGGCTGATTGAGCCGACATCCGCTAGATTCACGCGCCTAGGAATCTACGAAAGGCCTTCCCAGTGGATGGCGTAACTCGTCTTAGAAAAGTATTCTTTCGGTTCAAGTCCAAGTCTCTCAGAACCTCCTGGCCTCTCCTGGCCTCGCGGCTTCGCCTCTCTGAGGTGATGGGCTTCGCTCGCTGCATGACCTCGCAGGGTGTGAAGGCAGTCCCGGGCTCGCCTGCTTCGGGGCCGCTTCGCCGCTTGCCGCTCCTGTCCCTGTCGTTCAAGAGTCGCGTGGCCGACCAGAAATCGGTCAACACCTCGCGTGCTTCCACTTGCTCGACAGATCACCCTCCAAACATCGGTCACGTTCCCAAAGCCTCCCAGAATCCCAGTGCACCAACAAAGGTGCCAGAAGGGACAAAGAGATCGGAGCCCACAAGCGACAAACTCAAGAAAGATGATGTCGTGGCTGCGATGGCCCCGAATCGACTAAACGTGCAAGTGTGGTCCAGCAGCCCGATGAGGCTTAGACAAAGTCAGTGAGTTGTTAGTCATGACGCTGAGCGGGGCATGCGATTCTCGGAAGGGGTCTTTGTCCTAAACTCCTCGATTGTGGCTCTTTCAACATCACCGCAATTAGCTACAAGCCAAGTGGAATTTGCTTCTAGCTGAGGGGTGTTCTGTTTCCGGTTCCTGGGCGTGGCTGGGACTGTGCTTGAGCACCCATTGTGTTCGTTTCCGAGTCTCCCTTCAATTTCTTCGAGCGTGAGCTATCTTGGTCCATGGGCCCGGGACTGAAGCCACTTGTAAGGCATCTGCAAAAACAAGTACTGGTAGTACGGTAGTTGCTACCGGGCAGCATCTTCTATTTACCGGATGATTCCCTGGGCCTCGGAAACATCAGGCACATTGCCTACGGACTAGAGCACCTTCCGTGTCTTTGCGACAGAAAGGAATCGCATCCACCTCTGGCTTCGATCAGGGAACGAAGCGCGACCTTCCCCGCTCCCCAGCTCGTGAGTGATACGCAAACCTTGGCGAGGTTGACTGACTTTCTCACTGTAGCTGCGCCAACGTAACTGTGGCAGCGACCGCTACTTGATCTCAGATGTAATCACTTCAGCTCGTCCCTTTGCTTATTACAGTACAGACGCTGCACCTGCAAGTTACTCGCTGCCGCCTGGAGCTAACTCTGGCTGTTTCTCCTGGCCCGTGAAGTTGCTGCCCTGCAGGTTACAACAAGGCGGCGCGGCCGATAGCGGGCAGTGTTGCCGAGCTGTTGCAGGCTTTGGACTTGGAGGATGACGGTACCGATCAAGCAGTGGACAGGCAACGGCTGAAGAGGACGTTGTTCTGACTTCACGCTGTCATGTCTTTCCATTATGACTCACCAAAGCATCTTTAAGCGGAAGCAAAATTCCTGCCACACCTAGCCATTCGGATGGCTTCCTGGGCACTATGTGTGGGTACTGGGGCATCTGCTTGAAAGCCCGCCCAATCGCGAGGAGCTATCGTGAGCTCTCCGTGAAGCACCATCCCGACAAGTCCTCGGAGTCGTCCGGATTCCAACGCCTGCGGCATGCTTACGAAATCCTTGATGATCCAGTCAAGCTGCTGTTGAGCCTTGGCACCGTCAGTTCTGTCCAGCTGGTTCATTGCCATTCTTCAGCAGGTGGTGCCACGCCGTCAGCTGCACACTTGATGAAATTCTTTCATGCGGGTGGCGAGTTTGTGTGAGCTTGTGTTATGGGATCCCGAGAGCGGAGGTACGACAGCGGAGGGCTAGAACTGGTGAGACAGTACGAGATGCATCCTGATGAGGTTCCGACAACTGAGAACTTAGAGGTTTCCCACAGCATCTCCTTGGAGGAAGCATATGCAGGTGGTGACTATGCCTTGGGCCTGAGCAAACAGATCCTTTGCCTCTCCTGTCGGCACCAACCGCGCTTGCCCCGCTGCCGACGATGCCAGGCCTGTCCGGATGAGGTGCACCTACGACAGGTTTGGATCAACCAGTGGGAGTACTACATGGAGGAATTGCTCGTGCCGAGCCGTGAGAGATGCAGACAGACAGACATGAGCTTGAACATGACAATCGAGCGCGGTGCCATGAGCGGAGATAGGCTGCGGTTTGAGTCCATGGCAGCGCAATTGCCAGGACATGTTCCTGGCGACGTGCTTGTGAACCTTGACGTTCGGCAACACCCTGTGTTCAAGCGAAGGGGTTCGGATCTCGTGCTTCCGCTTCCTATCTCCTTGCTGGAGGCCCTCGTGGGCTTCAAGCGTGAGGTTGGGCACCTCGATGGCCGCGTGCTACACATTTCTGTTCCGAGGGGGGCCGTCGTGCACCCTGAAAGTGTGTTGGAAATTGAAGCTGCGGGCATGCCTGTTCACGAAGATCCGTCGACCTTTGGCCGCTTGTTGGTTCAGTTCCAGATTGAATTTCCGGAGCATGTGGACCCTGCGACCGCCGCGCAACTCGAGGAAGCCTTCGCCCTCTGAAGCTGAAACCGCCGGAGTTCGCCACGCCACGGGACTTCAGCTCGTGACACTGCTGAACAACCTGAGCCGCAGCGTGGAGGCAGCACAGAGCGTCCCCAAGAAATGCCTGACGAGCCGGAGCCGGACACCATGGGGCTTTTGTCTCATCTCGACTCGTAGGCTGATGGCGACACTGAAGAGGAGCTGTCGAGAGAAAAACTGCCAGGGTGGGTCAAAGCATGCGATTAGCATACTGGCATAGCGTAACATGGCCACGTTTGTACCATGTCATGTCTTCGTTTCGGCTCTTCTTGCAAACTGTAGGGATGCAGTCCACGCCACAGGCGCGATGCCCTTGTCCCGGTGACTTGGAGCCTGCGGTTTGGAGTTGCAGGCATGCAGTGATGCCGCGGCGTCGGGACCAACCGGGGCCTGGGCACTATGAGATCCCGCACTTCCTGACGCAGAGCACGTTTCTCGCCTACAGATATAGGGCCATAGGATCCCTCGGTCCTCCTCCGCTGTTCCACGCCCTTCGGGCCCGTGCTCTCAGCCCATTCAGTCTCTGAGTTCCTTTTGTCCTCTTCCCACTCAGGGCTGTTCCCTTCAGCGCTGTTAGGAGGGGAGCGAGCTTGAAGATTGGCAGCCGGATGGGGAACCAGCTGGGCCCTCGGTCTGACGACCGCTTCTGTTGGTGGTGCGCCCTTTTCGTGTCAGGTCGGAGCTGGTGCCTGGGCCGACAGACTATGTCTCCAAGCCATTTTGCCCAACCGAAAAGCGGGCGACCCACATTAGGCGCGATGTTTTTCTGTCATGATGGGTTTCTCCTGAGTTGTGCACGACGCCCTGCGGGAGCCGTTGGCCCCGTTTGAGGTTTGGCACGGCGAAGCGCTTTGGGAGGATGGGGCCTCATCACGGGGTTTCTCTTTTGCTGGGTGGCTTTCACAGCCAAGGAATGGCGAGGACACTCCTGGACCCTGCCAGTATACACCTCATAATCCAACAGCCACTTCGGAGCGTCGAAGCATTGGAGAAAAGACCGGCATGCTACCAGCATGCACTGGGAATCGCACTCTTTCCTTGAGACGCTTGTGGTGAGCACCAATGCGGCCGTCATTCTTGGGTGTTTTGCTGGACCAAGGAAGCTGCCTGGGCTTGGCGACGAAGCTCGCATGCAACAGATCAGTCGAGAGTGTGCCAACAGGGGCTTCAACCCTCATTAGATACGGATAGGTGCTGCAGGTAGTTAAATTCACTGCGGCCGGCTGTGGAAGCATTTGGGTTTCTTAGTGCCCGGCATTTAGGAATTCCTTGCCTGACCCTCAGGCAACACCTGGCCCTGGTGCCTACACGCCGAAGGCCGCACAACCCTAGCTACTGTTTTTTGTGGAAAGACTTTCCCTTTTTTGACAACGCCTCGGATGCTCTAGGTTTCGCAACGAAGCCCCGGGACGGCGTTTTACCGAGGCGCTCGGCGGAGAGTGGTCCAAACATTATTTGCTTTTGCTGCTTGTTGCCAGGTTCCCCGAGGCCTGGGGCGAAAAGTGTAGCAAAGATAGCAAAGAGAGGTGCGGCAAGGGCCACTGCTTGAGGTCTCCGTTCGCTCCATTCAAGGATGGGCCAGGCCCGGCTGCATACATGACGGAGCAGGCCTGGGCAACGCCGACAGAGTCAAGGCCTCGGTTTTTCATTTATTTTTCGCTGCCTGTCAGGAGTCCAGGCACGCCCTGAACAGCAACGGCTTCGGTTATGGGCCTCGACTACATGGACTGTCTGACGACAATTCGCCGGGCCCTGGATCCTACAGTTGGGACCTGAAGCCTTATGGTCCCAAGAAGCTTGCCTGACAAAGCGTATTATTTTCGTCCGTATCATCTTTGTCAGAGATCTGCTCGGACTCAGAGGGGTCAGGGGACGCGGTGAGCAGGCTGTGTAAAACAAGCCCCTCATACCCCACGATCCTCCAAGCAGCAGGGCTGAAAAATAGCACAGCCAAGCGCCACTGGTTATTTCGGCCCTTGCTTGTATTCGCAATGGTTCTGGTCAGGGCTCCGAATTCATGCTGCAAAGTAGCGCCACAGTTGTCTTTGGTCTTCAATGCTAGCTGGGCTTCCTGCTGTTGGAAGCTGCGTACGATATCGGACATGACCTGTGCGCACTGTATGCCGTGCATTGGCATTGGGCTAAGGATCAGTATGACGCCCAGACGGGACTATGACACATGAGCTGCTGACAAAGATGCAGCGACCTTGAGTCGATATCAAGGCTGTGAAGCAGGAAGACTGCGGTGCCAGCCGCGCAGTCGAGTCGGATAGGCAGAGACCATGGCAGCATTGGCCCAGGAGACAGTTAAGCTGGTTTACAAGGGGGCAAAAGCTGGCACGAAGTTTATTTACCGCAAATCAGCTGCAGAATGCAGCTCCAAGATTTCACCGGCCGAAGCGGACCCATGATGTACGTCAGGAAGTCTCTTGGCCTTCTTCTCACCTTAATGCTTCTGGCAAAGACCTGCTAGAAGCCTGGGAACGACCCAGGTAGTGCGTCATGAGGGTAGGGACACAAACCGCCAAAGACTCATCTTAGCTAGTGCGGCGCATATTCAAAGAGAAGAGCGAACCTTTCTCTGGGATCGGAGCAACTTCGAGAGTGAACGTGTTGGACTTCTTGAGTGCTTTCCTGTAGAGCAGCAGTGTTTGGCTCGGTTCTTGGCATCCGCTTTCCGCCGCAAGTCGCTCTCTCAGCTTGGGTTGTAACAGGGGCTGCAGGGGCGACGTGGGTCACAATGCATGAACCACCGCGGAAGAATGGCCGCCCAGGTGATACAGGCTACATTAAGATGGCCGGCGGCTGTGCCACGTTTTGTGCAACACGCTCAGTGCACTTGTTTCGTTTGCTCCCGCGCAACAGCTCCCTCCTCGCCCCTATGCCTGCGCAGACGATCCTGTCTGCTGTGGCCGTTCCCGTTCTGATCTTCTTCGGCTTCCTTTGCTCCGTGGGGTGACTTGCCGGAGCTTGGAAGCTCTTGCCTTGAAAGCAGTCACCGTGCGGCCACTTCACAGGTCGCCGATGATGGAAATTCCAGAGGCCCCGGGGGGCCCGCAACGAGAATGGGCAGAGGGGGGAGAGGCCCAGGAACTTGATCACGACAGGATAAGAAGCCAGAGGCCGGGCAAGGCTGCTACATGGCAGCGGCTCTGTATGCAGGAAACCCAGACCCAGACACTATATATCATATTATATTCCCGAAAGCTTCAGCGCAGGGTTCTTCGTCAAATTGCGTCGCC